CAGAGAGAGAGACACAGAGAGAGAGATACACACAGAGAGAGACACACACAGAGACACACAGAGAGACACAGAGAGAGAGAGAGAAGAGGGACACACACACAGAAAGAGAAAGGGACACACACAGAGAGGGGGATACACACACACAGAGACACAGACAGACACAGAGAGAGACACACAGACACACCCACACACACCGAGACAGATAGACACACAGAGACAGACACACACAGACACACACAGAGACCAACACACACAGACACAGACACACACAGAGACACGGAGAGAGGAGATAGACACAGAGAGAGAGACACGGAGAGAGAGAGACAGAGAGAGAGAGAGAGAGAGAGAGAGAGAGAGAGAGAGAGAGAGAATGAGAATTCTCCAATGCAGTGACACTGTGTAGATCAACCACACTCCTCCAGGTGGGCCCCATGCTTATGTGCTGCTGGACAACACAAATCGGATCCACGGTTATAATAAGTGGCCTTTTGTTGGTTCTTTTGCTTTTTTTTTTTTTTTTTTTTCTAAGACAGGGTTTCGTGTAGCTTTGGAGGCTGTCCTCGAACTGGCTCTTGTAGACCAGGCTGGGCTCGAACTCAGAGATCCACCTGCCCCTGCCTCCTGAGTGCTGGGATTAAAGGCGTGTGCCACCACCACGCCTTTTTTTAAAGAGAAGCAAAGAATATTAAGTTCGTTGTGTAGAGAAGCAGGGAGGATCTTTGAGGAGCCGTGGACAGAAAAGAATACAGTGAGAACATTGTATGAGATTCTCAAAGAATAAGAAAAGTTAAAGTATGCAATGATAGTGATAAGCAGTCACCATGCTCTGGACTGCTGAGCCATCTGTCTGGCCCAAGAGGAGTTCAAAAACCATTCTCCCACCTGGCTCTGATGAGAGAAGTGGTCGATTTTCAACTCTGCTTTCACCGATTCTGGATATATGCCATCAGTAGGATTTCTGGATTGGTAACCGTTTTAGTCTTAACTTTATGACAGACCTCTAAACTGGTTTCCACAGCAGCTGCACCGTTTGTATCCCTATCACAGGTGTGCAAGCATTGCAGTTTCTCAAGGTCCTTCCAGACCCTGGCCAACATCTGTCTTTTTCTTTTCTTTACCAGACAGGGATCTCTCTATGCTACCAAGGCTGGTCTTGGATTTTAAATACTATAGCCTGGATGTTCCTAATAACTGGAATTACAGACCACACCATACCCAAGTCTTTTTTTTTTTTTTTAATAGTACTAGGTATCCTGACAGCCATGAGGCAATTTCTCTTGGTCATTTTGATCTGCATTTTTTGATTATTAACAGTGAACAGTTTTTCAGATACCTGTTGGCTACTTAGCACATTTTCTCAAAACAACAACAACAAAAATGACATTTCGAGCACTTAGCCCTATTTTTAAACTAGTTAGCAGTTTTTCTTATTGGGATGTTTGAATTGCTCATATATTTTGGGAGGCATGTCTCTTTAAATTTTAACATTTGTATTTGTGCAGTGCCCAAGCTACCTTCTGAAGACTAGTGTTTACAAAAGACAAGTGTTATTCTCCCTCTTAATCAGTGAAACCTCTTCACAAGGAATTGGTGGTGAATGTAGTAGAGACACATGACCGGGAAGGTGCCCAATCCAAATAGGACATTCATACAACCACTTCCAAAACTCAGGGAGCAATGTGGAAGGCAGAGTAGGAAGAACACAAGAGCCAGAGACAAAGGAGAAGGGATGAGAAATGACATTTTGCAAACGTGACACAACCAATGTAATCATGCTCTCACAGCACCTCGGTCACCTGCAAAGGGCCTGTGGAAGAGGACACCAGTCAACCAGTCCATCATAGATCCATGAGGTGCCCCAATAGCTCAGTCATCCCAGCTTAACTATTGGCTACTGACAGGCTCAATGGGGGAGCAGACATTCTCTACAGTTATGTACCCTTCTAATGAACCCATCAGGCCTCAAGACAGTTTCAGACACTTGGTCACACAGATAGCACTGGTTACAACACACAGCAGCCACGGAACAAAAGACATGAAATGCAGTGGAAGGGATTTGTAGCGGGGAGAGAGGGAGGGTAACAGGAGTGGGAGGAAGACGAGTACATATATTGATTACTCTCAATATATTCATGAAATTTTCATATAATTTAATAAAAGTTAAAAAAAAAAAACAGGGCTGGAGGGATGGCTCAGAGATTAAAAGCACTGACTGTTCTTCCAGAGGACCCAGGTTCAATGCTCAGCACCCACATGGCAGCTCACAACTATAACTCCAAGATCTGACACCCTCAAACAGACAGACATGCGGGCAAAACACCAATGCACATAATAAATAAATCTCAAAGAATAAAATAATGAATTCAATTTTAAAAAACCTAAAGCAGAAAACCTCACAGAACATAAATAAAACCCTGTGCTCGTGCAGTTAAAGCAGCCAGAGCCTGCCTCTCTGGCTGCATTACATTTTGGAGCCATGTGACCACTCTCTTCAGAGACTGTAAACAGTGTGGCATGAGCAAAGCTCAGAAAGAATTACTGCTGTACAAACGTGAGGCAGGCAGCACAGAACGTCCTTTCCCTTCTTCCTGGAAAGGCACACTGCCTTCCTTGTTTATTGCTCTGCACAGTATGACACACACACTTCGCCCCTTAGCATGTACAGCCCAACCAATTCGCAGCTTCTGGGATTCTGCCCTGTGATGTGAAATCCAACCCCAGGGCTCATGAGTGATGTTATCCTGGGCTTTTTTTCTATTGTTACATTTCAGGCGAGCCATTCAGAGCTGGAACACAAAGGCACACGGGGCTTCTCCTGTAGCAATCATGCTCTCCAGGCCATCCATCGGTTTGGTTTGCAAAATTCTTCCCCATATGTTGTTATATGAGAAATTCTTCATCCCATGAGGTTCTATAGGCAGACAGTGCAGAGGAGAGATTTACTTTCTCATGTTCATAGTCTGGTATGAGGTTGGCACTTCCACACAGCCTCTTGACTCCAAAGGCTTTTACCCCCCATGATACCGTCTTGGTCTCACAGAAGCACAAGACCAATGTCTGATGTTTATGAGCATGGTAGATCTCTGGGTTACCTCCAATTCTGCTGTTAGCATGGTGAACTTAGGAATGTTGCTAAGTCTTGGGGCCTGACTTGGCTGTCACACCTATAAAGCAGAAATGGTACCATGCATGCCATTGGGTTTGGAGCAATTGTGTCAATGCAGGAAAGAACACTAATCATACATCATGCATGGGAGCCAGTACTTCTGTGTATAGTAGCTGTTCAACAAACAAGATTCACATTAGCTAAGAATGTGACTCTCACATTAACCTTAGTTAGGAATGTGAATCTCACACTTAACGTTAACTGTGTTGATTTAGAATGGCCCATGAACTCATTGGAGCACAATAAAGAAAGGTTCACCGGGCTGTGGTGGTGCTGGCCTTTAATCCCAGCACTCAAGAGGCAAAGGCAGGTGGATCTCCTAGTTTGAGGCCAGCCTGGTCTACAGAGTGAGTTCCAGGACAGCCAGGACTACAGAGAAACCCTGTCTAAATAAATAAATAAATAAATAAATAAATAAATAAATAAATAAATAAATAAGAGAGAGAAGTCCTAAGTACTACTCTATATGATCCCTGAATTCTTATAAGGTTCTCCATTGTATATGCAAGCATTATGCATGAGTGTGTGTGTGTGTGTGTGTGTGTGTGTGTGTGTGTGTGTGTGTGTGTAAGAGAGTGTGCAAGGGAGTGAGAAAGAGCAAGTGAGAAATCGAGCAAGCAAGAGTGTGTGTGTGTGTGTGTGTGTCTGCACTATGTGTGTGCACTAATGTGTGTGTTCCCTGGGTGTCTAGGAAGAATGAAGGGAATTGAAGGGCTTCAGTATCAGATTAGCATTTCCTTCATGTTAACATTTAGCCTACACCCAGCCAAGAAGTTAGCAACACAGATTAAAGTGCAGGGGACATTTGGAAATTGCCACAGCTCTCTTGGAAAGTATAAGAGGCACAGATAAAAGCCACTGTTGATTTCATGGACTCAATTCTTGGATAGCAACAATATGATTTGGTAGTCAGATTTCCTAGGTTCACATCATTTGTTTAAAATACTACAGAGAAAATAAATACTGTTGGGGACAAACAAGCCAGCAGCAATATTCCAGCATGTGAATGACAAATAGGAAGATGAGAAAAGCCAGCGTAATGAAAGACTCTTACTCTAGTGCTAAAGGAACAGAATGTTTAAAAGTAGGGATGACTTACTTTGTGCCACACAATACACTTTCACCAAGGCCCAGGGATGGAGCCACTTCAAGGGCCCCTGGCCCTCCATCCCAGTGCTTTTTAAAGGAAACTTAGTATTTGCTGAAAGGAAACTTCCTATTTGCTGAAGGTCCACACAAAAAGGTAATAAACAGGAATTAGTGAGGATTCTTTCACAGGGCAACAGTAACCCTTGAAGGACTGCCTCAAAACCAGGTGCATTCTTCACAAGGAGACCACAGCTGAGCTCCCAGGGGACTGTCAGTGCTCAGCTCTTTCCAGGTGTATGGCACATGAGTGTGCGAGTATGCATGAGAAGTGATGATGGGTGTGTGTGGAGGACAGCCACATTTCAAGAATTCTTTGAAGATGGAGGTTTCTGTCCCACCTGGTCCCACAGCCACTTTGCCACAAAGACACAGATGCTATATTAATTATTAAACTGTTGGCTGATGGCTTGGCTTCTTACTGGCTAGCTCTATCTTAATTATTAACCCATGTCTATTAATCTATGTATTGCCACAAGTCTGTGGCTTATCCATAATCCAGCATGTCACTCCTTGGGCAGCATGGCATCTCCTCCCTGCCTTCCTTCTCCCAGCCTTCTCTGGTCTGGTAGCCCCACCTATCCTTCCTGCCTGGCTACTGGCCAACAGTGTTTTGTTCACCAGCCAATAAGAGAAACATATACACAAGGACATCCATATCTTACCTCCCTCTCCTGGGGCCATGAGTGCTCAAGGCCTTAAGACATAAGTAGGAGGGACCAAAGAAGACCCACTGGGACTCTTCCTAAAACATTCTCCCAGCCTCATCCTACAGGCAGACTACCTGGTCTCTAAACAGTGATGAGGCTAAGCCATCATGGACTCAAACTGCTGAAACCATGGTAATCAAACAACTTCAATCCCTTAAAGTTGTTTCTCTCAGGTAATTTTTCATAGCATCAAGAATTAACAAGATAAGCTATTCTAGTATCTAGTATTAGATAATGGTGAGTAACACGAGAAAAATAAAAGGGTGTGAGCTCGGAGGCCATGAGACTGCCTTGCTTCCTGGAAAGATAATTGGGCAATGACTGAGGTAGAAAGGGACAAACACCCACACAAAGGGGAAGCACAGCCATTGTAAAGGCTCCAAGATAGAGAAGGCGACTGGTTGGAAATGTAGGAAACCAGAGGGAGTTGGGGACAGGTGTATGTGTGTGGGATTGGAGAGGTTGTGGGCCCATGAAGGGCCCCTTAGAGGACTTTGCTTATCCTCTAAGGGTCATGTTGTACCGCAGGGTCTTCCAGACCGAGAGGCACTCTCCACATCTGGTTCCTTCGGTGTGAGGCCTGAAGCATCATCTCGTTCAATTCTACCAGGTAGGCTGAGTGACCATAATGTGGGAACTGCAACTTAGAAGTTACACAACTTGGAAAGTGTTGGGGTAGCTTTTTTTTTTTTTTTTTTTTTTTCAGACAGGGTTTCTCTGTGTAGCTTTGGAGCCTGTCCTGGCACTCGCTCTGGAGACCAGGCTGGCCTTGAACTCAGAGATCCGCCTGCCTCTGCCTCCCGAGTGCTGGGATTAAAGGTGTGCGCCACCAATGCCCGGCTGTTGAGGCAGCTTTTAATTAATATCTTTCACTCTTCTTTTCCCTGACCCAACCACCAAGCTTCCCTGTGTTCCTGCAGGTAAAAATCAAGCACAAGAACAGAGGAATTCAGAAGGAAAAGATTTGTGACCAACTGGAAAAGTTCGAACATGCACATCTGAGCCCTGGCTTAGCGATGGCCCCAGGACATCATTTCACTAAAATCTTGTGTATTGGACTGACTGTGAGTCATGTAAGCCCAAAGCCACAGCCCAGAAAAGCTACCTAACCACAAGAAGTTGAATTCATACAATCTCAGCCTGTTTGCGTGCTGTGCTCTGTGCCTCAGCTGCATCTGACGACATCTACACCCTGCTCTATTAACCACAGCTCAGAGTTGCTTTCAAACCTGCTTGTTTTTCCTTTTTCATGTTCTTTCTGCTTTTAGGGTGTTATCTCCCTAAACATGATATTGGAAATCACGATCTCTGGCTATTCTCAGTTACCTGGGAGGGTGCAGAGAGCCCTGAGACCAGAGATCATCCACCTCTCTCTCTGTACTGTACTCAGGACTCAGCCCCCCTCTGTACCACGGACCCAGGACACCTCCTATCCACCCCTCTACGTGCTTGTGTGTGTGTGTGTGTGTGTGTGTGTGTGTGTGTACACGCTCGTGCATGAGTGTTCGAAGGACAACCTTGGTGTCATTGCTCAGGATGCTAACCACACCTTGTTTATTGAGATTCACCAGTGAGGCTAGCCTGGAGGGGCAGCAAGATCTTGAGGTTGAGGTCTCTGACTCCAAGAGTGCACACCCCAGCATTTTTTTTTTTTTTTTTGAGTCTTCTGGGAAGAGAACTCATAGGCATTCTTACTTGCAAGACAAGCCGATTACCCACTGAGCTCTCTAGTCCAAAGCAACGTTTATGTAGCATTCTGTGGGTAGCCTTAGTCAGCCAGGGGCTGTCTAACCAAGGCCTAAAAATTAACTGATAGCTCCTTTTTTTAAGTTTAAAACTATTTGTTGATAAATTAATGTAACCAGCGGAAATATCTCCCGGAAGTACGCACCTTCACTACCACAGTAGATTAGTCATTCCATCGCCCCTAGATCTAAGCCCTCAAGTTCTGAATTAAATAAGCTGCAGATATTTATGTTTAACTTACTCAGATGCCAGTAAGGGGTTTATATTTTCTTAGAGCTGGTCCAAGAGCAGAATTTTTCTTTGCTTAATCTACAAAGAAAAAAGGTGGGGGAGGGGAAGGGGAGAGGACCCCAGCTAACTGGGAGCCAGCTGCTTTTCTTCTTCAGAAAGGGCCGCTGGGGAGAGGATAGCTTGTTTAATCTCAGAAATGTAAACAGAAGGAAGCCCGTCACAATTAAGTTAGAACTTGAGCACTAATTAAGCCTGAAGCCCTGTAACGGAGATTTGGACTCAGTAAATATTGATCCCAAGTGGCTTCTCCATTCTTTACAATATCACAGATTAAACTTAATGTAAACCAAAGCACATGTGATCTTTTCCCAGTAAAAGTTGCTCGTATCTATATTCAAAGGGACATGAGATTGGAAACCACAAAGATTACATTTCCCAGGAATATATGAGAGACCACAGCCTTGGAAGCAGAGTTCTCTATTTTCTGCCGGGTTGCTTGGGGTTGATCGGAACCCAGAGCTGCAAAGATTGCTAAGAAATCCTGGGTGGGATCAGACACGTGCATACACACACATGCTGTCGAACATAACCCAACCCAGTGTGTAACAGACACCAGGGAGAGAAACAGTTGTGAAGGTGAAGACAAAAGGTTCCAAGTGGGTGTCTGTGGCAGCAGTTATGCTTCCAAATGGGGATGTCAGGTAAGCATTGGAATGTGTGTTCCAGAAGCTCAGGGCTGCAGATGGAGCTAGGGAGGACTCTCTGACAGGGGGGAGGGGCAGGCCTGAGGAGCACTGTAGGAGCAGCAGAATAGAGATGCTCAGATTTTGGGGATCTTTACAAAATATTTTTAAAAATTTTAGGGCCTGGAGAGATGGCTCAGCGATTAAGAGCACTGCCCACTCTTCCAGGGGTCCTGAGGTCAATTCCCAGCAACCACATGGTGTCTCACAACCATCTATGATGGGATCTGATGCCCTCCTCTGTCATGTAGGAATACATGCAAATAAAGTACTCATATACATAATTTAAAATTTATTATTCATGAGGTGTATGTGTGTCTTTGTTGAGTATATGCCATATGTGTGCAGGTGCCCTGAGGCCAGAAAAGGTTGTTGGATCACCTGGAGCTGGAGTTACAGGTAGTTGTGAACAATTCTACATGGATGCATGGAACCAAACTTAGGAGTACATTCTGCTCTTGCAGAGGACCCAACTGCTGAGCCATCTATCCAGCACCTACAAAATAGCTTTATGACTTTGTTTGCAGTTGTGGATTCCTAGGATAGAAATCATGCCCACATTTAAACATGAACATAAACATTCCAGGGCCATGTTGATGAATTTGAGTAATTGCCTCAGTTATTTTTAAACTTTACAAATCAAGAGTTTACTCTAGCAATATTTTCATATCTAGTTTAGAGTCAGACATGTAGGGCCTACATACATGCTAGTTAATACCAGTTAGCTGTGTGATCTCAGACAAATCAATGATGGGCTGAGAGCCTTGTGTATTGGAGGAGGAAGAGAGTTTAAGGTCAATTACCCGGATCAAAAATTACCCGGATCAATTCCTAGCTCATGTGTGAAGGTTTCATGAAGGTTTCATAGACCACAGTCACTAAGTGGATAATGCATGTTCTCCCAGACTTTCAAAATCTGATGAAACAGACACGATCAAGACATCCCATTCCAGAAGATTTAGAGTAAGACTGAAATAAATAAGCAACCTCCTGAAGACATACACTGGAACCTTCCAGTCAGCAAGAAGTCTGGTTCCAGCCTGAGGGCAGTTGAGCTTCAATGCCTCCGGTTTTCTCTGGCTCATGAAGGACTCCTCAAGGACAGCAAGCAGATGCCATCTTGGTCCCTTCCTGCCCACATAGGGATCAGCCTTCCCTACTGCTTGCTTTACCCAGGCATTGTCTCCTCCCAACAGGGGCCTTTTACTCTAACCTTTCTAGAGTCACACTTGGTTCTTGACATGCTGAAGTCTGCCTATAATAGTCAGGTTCAGTCCCAGTAAGGCCTTAGCAACCCAAAGGCACATTGTTTGATATAGCTCTGATACTGGGTTCAGATTCTACTGGATCACCCTGATATATAAAGTTACTTGGACCCAGAGACACTGAGCTCAAAGGCTCTGGGAGGGGGGATCAGGGTTGAAATCCCCACTCTCATGGCCAACTCAGGTCTAAGGCTTCATCTTTACTTTCATAGTTATGATCCCTCCTCTCCTATGATGACATAGGCTGTTGTCCTTGCTGGACTTGGCTGTTTAGGCCATTGGCCCAATTCCCTCTGCACCCCAAAACATCTCTTCTTTCTAAGTTAATCATCACTGTATACCAGCAGCTGGAAGAGCCAAAGATGAAGCCTGAAGCAGGGACACCATGTACTTCCTGCAGTACACTCCAGAGGCCAAGGGCAGAACTCAGTGCATGGCTAGGCACGGAAATCAGCCAGTGTTGGGTAGCCTAAGCAGTGGGTGATCCACAGCACCAGGTGAGACAATGGGTGATGCATGGCCCCAGGAATTTACAGCTTGGGGAGAGCAGCAACAGTAAAATGCTCAAATGTAAAATGCTGATTGCTGAAGGCAGCAAATAGTTCCCTCCAATAGCAGCTTCTAACTCAGTCTTTTAAAATGATCGCTATTGGCCTATTGACTGCCCTCTTGTTGGTCTTTCCAGGGTTATTTTTACTTCTGATTCTGATCTTCCTACTTTATTTTTCCACCTTATGCTTGAAAAGTCAGTGAGGCACCTTTGTGTGCCAAGAATCTCAGGCCGAGCCTGGCTCCTTACCAATCAGATACCATCAGACAGGGCCAGCAAAAATCTGCTATTGGGCAGAGCTTGAGGAGGGCCAGAGGTAGGTTTATTTCAAAGATAAGCTTAAACATTGGGCCCTTTTCTCCCTAGGCTCAGGGTCAGATTTTATGTATTACAATTTGAGTTCTTTTTCTTTAGAGGGAGAGAACATGGCTTGAAGAATTCTGCTAGCCCATCCTGGGTGTCTGGGAAACCACACAGGGCATGGTTTCCATGTCAACAGCACCCAGAACAGTGACCAAGAACCATATGCAGTCCCAGGGCTCAGGCTTCAGGGAAGCCAAAGTGAAGTGCTTTTCAATGGACTGCTGGAGCAACAAATTCACAGAAAATAAGGCTGTGGGCTGGTGCTGTAACGTAGTTGGTAGAATGCCAAACCCAGCATGCACAGAGCCTTGGGTAACATCCCTGAAATCTTAGAACTCAGGAGGTGTGGGCAGGGGAATCAAAGTCAGCCCTCAGCTGTATACCTAGTTTAGAAGGGACCAGCCCCCCATTTCAGCAGCCATGACAGTAACATGTGCTCGCTATGACCTTGTCCTAGTCACTAGAAAGTCAGATCCTTGCCTCGTGGCAAGGAGCCAATCAGACGTTAGCTGGTGGCGCTATGCTTTACGACCCTGGGTGTGCTTTACAGACAAGCACACAGCAGTGCACAGCAGAGCATAGCACCCACCGGGGGAGGGCCTATGGGCCATAACAACCAGTTGGCCAATCAACACAGGGCAAGCCCTCCAAGCCTGGAGGCACATCAATCCTGAGCCTGTGCGTACTCCTAGACACTCCCCTTATGCTGCCCTACAAGATGGCTCAGCAGCCGGTTGGAGGTGTCTTTGCTAGCCATCAGCCATAGCGGGTGGGTGAAAGACCCGAGCTAACATGGGGTTAGCTCGTTAAAAACAATAAAGCTTGCAGTTTGCATCAAGCTCTCGAATTGGCCTGGTGATTGGGGTGACTGTGGTCATGGCCTGGGACCCCGGATACCTGAGTTTTTCCAGGGGTCTAACAGTTTGAAGGCAACCTAAGATAACATATAGGAGACCCAGTCCCAGAAAACAAAGAAATCAAATCCCACGCTGTGGGTGGGGGTGCTGAACACCCACCTGCCATTTTCAAGAACCTCTCCAATGTCCCCACTGGACCTCCTCACCTGGGAGGCCTGAATTTAAGATTCCTTGTTCTTTCTATAACCCTCTGGTGGCCCTTGTTGCTGCCGTTTCTGTGGTTTCGGTATAATCCTAGTCATTTCCCCAGGATGCTTGCCAAGTTCCTAGCTCCATGTTACCTGAATGGAGAATGGGGAATGTAAATAGTATAGATTCTGAACAACATTGTAAATACTTTACAGACCATGTGTTCCAGGGAGTAGCTGAGCCATAAAAATCAAAATT